CCACCTTGGCCTTAGTCCATTGCATTGGTGACCTCATACTATGTAAACACCATTGCCAATATTCCTCGGACTTTCAACCCCACCTCTGTAACCTCCATAACCTCCATAACCTCCAAGCTCCACAGATCATCTTTGGCTCTTTCGCTGCTTGTAATGTATCTCTCACGTTTTCCCCTCATCCCTATTTGGACTGCTGCTTCTTCTTCTCATTCTAGCCAGTTAGTCATCATCCCCACTTCCCCTCATCCTCCTGCCCCTCTGGGCCTTGCCCTCCTTACCTCCTTTCAGACATACCCAGGTTCTGCCTTATGACCTTCGGTACCGCTCCACTTCTGTCATCCCTTTGTTCCCATTTGGACACCTTCATTCCAATTCGGATCCCCTTTGTTTCCTTGTGCTTTTGCCCTCCTGTCAGGAACGTGCCAGACACGTATCCGGGTGACCCACAAAGCGCGCGAGGTCATCTGGGCTCGTAAGGTTGGAGGGGCGGGACTTTAGCTTCAGCAACTCAGGTGGAGCGCTGCACTTCGTTCTTACATTGGTGTCCCAATTTCAGACAGAAGCGTTACGATGAGTGTCATATCCGTGCATACCCGACCCTGACCCGACTTCCGGACCTCCACCCTCTTCACCTCCGGAGTCATACCCTACCGCTGCTGTTCTGATACTCACCTTCGGTCCTGGCAACACACCTCCTTCTACCCCTTCCCACGCCACCTCTACTCCTCCTTCCCTCTCCTACCCTATCTCCATCCGCTCCGATACTCACCTTCGGACCTGACAACTCTCCTTTCTGCCACTCCTTCTTCCTTACCTTTCCCCTCTCTCCTCTCTCTGGTACTCCTCCACCACCCTCCCACCAAGTTACGACCTTCCACCGCTGTCCCGTACTTCGTACTCGGACACCGCTCGTACCTTTGCTCCGAGCCTCCATCATAGTCCCTACCTCGGACTTTGACTCCACCTCAGTCTTAGTCCATTGCATTGGTGACCTCATACTACATAAACACCATTGCCAATATCCCTCGGACTTTCAACCCCGCCTCCGTAACCTCTGTAAGCTCCGCTACCCCCGAGCTTCACGGATCGCCTTCGGCACTTTCGCCGCTTGTAATGTATCTCTCGCATTTACCCCTCATCCCTATTTGGACTACTGCTTCTTCCCATTCTAGCCAGTTAGTCATCATCCCCACTTCTCCTCATCCTCCTGTCCCTCTGGGCCTCGCCCTCCCTACTTCCTTTCGGACGTATCACAGGTCCTGCCTTATGACCTTCGGTACCACTCCGCTTCTTCTACCCTTTGTTCCTGTTTGGACGTCTTCGTTCCGATTCGGTTTCCCTTTGTTTTCCTTGTGCTTTTGCCCCCTCCATTATATATATCGGGCTTGTACATACTTGTTTTGGTTCAGTCCGAAATCGACCTGAAATGCCCCCTAGAGACTTCCTGCTCACCTACTGTGAAAATAAGGACCAAATGGACAAACAGCAATGGCACAGCGCTCCACTTGAGTCGCTGAGGCCAAGGTCCCTCCACGCTAAGTCTCCGATTCCACTCTGGAGTCATCTGTATCAGCCCCGTTCTAACAATGAGGATAAGAGTTTAGAGGGGGAATCCAAGTCGATATACAAACTGAGGTACATCCGGTGTAACCTACACGCATTATAAACACAAGTAACTAAATGAGACCAGCCTGGAAGGAGTGGCGGATCAAGCATGATATTAATGAATGAAGAAAGAAACAAATAGTTAATATCGGCAAACCTGGTCAACAAAAGGAAGGCAAGAAACAAAAGAAGAACAATAGTCTGCAAGCGGACAAAAGGGAAAGAACCTTCCGGCCGTCTAGCAAGCTGTCCGGCTGGCGAGCGGACAACAATGAAGCAGGCAACCTAGGTTGGAAGGTACGTGTGCAAGGGAGGAAGTGCGGGTGACGGTGACGGGTGGACGGATGGGTGGACAGATGGGTGGACGGATGATGATGATAGCGGGAGGGACGGGCCAAGTGGCACTAGGAGGCGTAGAGGGAAGTGACGGATATGTCAGGTCATGACACCTCCCCATTATATATATTGGTGCTTGTACATACTTGTTTTAGGCCTTAGTCTAAAATCGACCTGAAATGCCCCCTAGAGACTTCCTGCTTGCCTCCTATGAAACTAAGGACCAAATGGACAAACAGCAATGGCACAGCGCTCCGCTTGAGTCGCTGAGGCCAAGGTCCCTCCTTGCTAAGTCTCTGGTTCCCCTCCAGAATCATCTGCCCTCACCTAGTTCTAACAGAAAGCTGGGAAGCATGCCTGAAACTTACCTGGGTGACCTGTAATCACTATCATCTCCACCCCCACCCCCACCCTCATCACTAACCTCTCTCCCATACAGTGACAAAGGGGCATTTCCCTTGGGCGATGAACCAGCACCATTCCCATTTGGCTTCCTCTGTTTGAGAGATTGGGGATGTGGCAGAGAGTTGGGTTGAACCGAATTGGCACGCTTCCTGTTCAGGATTATTGCCTCGGCGGTAATCTCAGGAGCCTTCCCCTTTCCATTTCCATCCATATTCGCCAGCCTATCAACTCTAGGGTTGAACTTGTCGAAGCGCTTCTTGAAATGGTTCTGCCATGAAGCGACAGGATGTTTGCTGGTCTAATGGAGTTCTGCCTTCTATGTGCAGTTCAGCCCAATGGTGGGTTGGGGTGAGATTCAGGGTAAGAGTAAGTAAGCAGCAACACACACATCCTCACACATCCGCTTAAACACTGTCCAAGCAGTCCTGCTGCTGTGTGCATTGCCAGGGATATGTTTGGGACGTTGATCGCTAGCCATGCAAGCATCCGCTCAACCTGTTCATTGTAAAACGGTTTTGCTTGCTCTCTTCTACACACAAAACTCATCAGGATCTTACACAGAAAATGCAGTTACATATACCAAACCTGCGACTGGAGTTACTCCCGCTAGCCTATCAAAATGAGTGTTACATGTCGAAGGCCATGGAGAAAACCTGTACCTGTTGGGTCTGATCCATAGGGAGGTTGATAATTTGAAGTATAAGTATGAATGAAAAAATTGTGATGGAGATAGACACGTGACCAAAAATTCTTGTCACAACTGATCTTATTATGCCACAACCTTAGATCCCTTCACTGGCCCCTCTACATTCATACAAAACCTATCCCAAAATGAACTATGCCCTGGGCTATGTTTTTTTTCAAACACCTTTTCATTTTTGAGACCCATATCTTCATAGATCTCCCCAGCAGACTGGGGGAGAGCCTGACTTCTCCAGGAGATCTTCATGTTGTATTGAAGCATTCAAATCTCACATTTAGACATCCAATTTTGGCCCTCAAGTGTCAAGGTTCCACATCCATTTAAGCTGGATTGAAGTGCAGGGGATCATGTCAGCTACCAATTATTTGCACTCACTTTTGCTATCTCACTTGCTCTTGCTCTTATACTGGGTCACTACACCATACCCACTGTCCACCATTAGCATCCACTATACCCCTCAGGGCATTCCGATGCCCATGTGTTGTGGTTATTGTTCCCTTTTATGGGAAGCTCCCTTGTTCTAACGGTTTAGCCTTTGTTCCTTTGTGCCACACAGAAATGTATATAAGTGTGGTGTGTAGAGCTGAGTGCGATGTCTGATGATACTGTGATACCATACTCAGGCAAGTTCTTCTTATCATATCCTTGTATTTATGACATATCTCATGATACTGTGATATCATACTCAGAGGTCAGGCTGCAATGCCATGATTATAACAACATTGACATACAATCAGAATGCACACATGAAAATATACATTGTTTACATCAAGATAATAAAGGAAGCATGCACCACCCATCACCACCCTGAGGCCCATCCCTTCCTTACAGGCCCTTCCTCATTCTCAGTCCCTGATTGATCCAATCTGACCATGCTTGGACATCCTCCTGAAGCCAAACATCGATATATGGCACCATGCTACAAGGAGGTTGCTCTAAATTGACAAATACAACAAGTGCATCTGAGGTTTGGAGTTCCAACAAGTCAAGATAATTGTAGTCTCTGATGCCATTGGGCAATGCCTGTGGGAGGTCTGTTGGTCAATGCATAGAATGGGTCATCGTTCGCACGAAAGACCGAATTCCTGACAATTTCAGTGATGTCCCCAATATCAAAAACATGCGTGGTGAGGAAGATGCATCTTGGTCCAGTAATAAGCCCTTCTCTTCAGCGACTGGATCACTTTCTGGACCGTCTTCTGTGTAGACAATTTGATGGCAAAGCACACCAACATGTCTTTGGCACCTCAATCCTTCTTTTTTCCATCTTGCCACTATATGAGAAAGATCGAGGTGTGGATAAAGGACAGGTAGCACTGAGTTCTTTACCTTCTTCAACACACTCCTTACATTCAGGGAACAAGCCCTTTTTGTATTGTGCAACATGGTGTGCAGTAAGCACACATGATTTAGAACAGATATTACATCTCAGTATACTATGGCATAACAAGCTAAGCACGGGCAGGCAGCATGTTAGGAGAGAACATACCTGAGAGACCCATGCAGGGTTATGTGGACCTGCCTGCCATTGCCGTCAAATAGAGGGAGGCCTGCCTTGGAATCAAGATCATCCACATTTTGCATATAAGACTGGCACAACAGTTTGAGCTGAGACAGGTGAACGAGGAGGCTGTGTGCTGTACTGGGTGGGGCTTGCAAGCAAAGCTCTGAGAGTCTCCCTAGTGTCTTGAGCTGTTCTGCTGCTTGTTCAGGTTGCTGCACCCTAGTGTGGAACACATCCCTGTAAGGGATACTGCCATCTTTGTTCTTGGTCTTGTAGAGGCCAGTGGCAGAATGGAAGTCCTGGAGAATAATTAGAGCTCTCTCATGCTACTTCTTTCTTTGCAAAAACAAACCAGGATCCTGGAGGCACAGGAAACTCCTGCACCAGTGAGTGTGACAACCCATTCTGGGAAAGATCGAAGCAGATGGAGGCAAACAATGGCATCAAATGAGCCCTTATCAGATGATTTTATCATATCGTTGCAAGAGGGGTTGGGATGTTGGATACAAAGTGTGAAGGTTTGTTTTTGTTTGTTATGGTAATATTAAAAATGTTGATGGTCACATGTCACCAATCGGTTCCGATGACGGAGTGGGGAGGAGAGAAGTGAGGTTTGGGGGATTGTTCCTTACCTCTCCCAGTCGACGTCCCAATGTAGAGGCACTGGACTTGCCAGCCACCAAGGGTTGTCCACTATTCTGGTTTTACAACCCCACTGATGATGGCGCCCCTGCCCCACCTAGAGTAATCATAGCCACGACCCGTCCCCTGACAACTCAACTCAATCTACCCCAAGCCCAGCAAATACCCACACGGAAGAGTATGTAGTACCGGAAGGAATCCAGGACATAGTACTCGACTCTGGAACTGACACTGCTGCTGAAGGGGGCCTAGTCGACCACCCAGTGGTTATCCACCCCTCCATAGGGCAGTGCAGCACACCCCAGGACCAACAAGCACATAATGCCTATACCCTGGGGTCTTCAGCGCACACCTATGCTTCAACATATCAGACAGAGCCCAAGCAGCCTGGCAAAACACAATGAACTACTCCATTGTCCCATGCAGAAGGCCAAGGCAGACACTACTATCTTCATGAAGTGGGCCTTCCCTGGTTTAGCAAACACTCTCATGGTCATCCCAGCCACAAAATTAAATGACCAGCAAGCAGACGAGCCACTTCCCCGGGGCATAATGATAGCAGGCCTAATGTAGGCCACCCACCTCTCCAATCGGTTCTGGATCTCCAAGGCCTTCGGCTTTGCTGCCTACCCTGTGACAGACTTCACTGCCAATTGGCCAGCCATCTCAGACAAAACCTGGTGCAGACCAGCACCCTGGTGGACCGACACCTAGCCAGCGAAGTCCTGAACATGCTGCTATGCCGTGAGACCATTAACTCAGCAGAGGACAGCCTAATCACCATGATTAGACATGGAAATGCCTCTACACACTGGGTCTTCATGGCCAATTCCCCCCCACCCCACTGACATGGTCCAACACAGACAGTGGGGTAGCCGCAGCTGGAAGTATGGAATGGTATCACCCTTCCATCACCACAGGTGAACTGCAAGTGCTGCAAGGGTAGAGACCTACCAGTGCCAGCTGAGCAAAGTCCCATTCTGGAACAAAGCATTCCCCCACAAAAGAATCAATGACCCCCAAATTGCGAACACAGACCCCACAACAATGCAGAACTTACTGCCACCCACAACCACAGAGCCTCAACGAGTGGGGATGGCAGATGCGGCCAAGGCAATCAAGCCAATCCAGATCATCTCAACCTCTGGATAGTGCTGATGAGGCCCCACGATCTGTATCAGAAGAATCAGCCTGACCCAATTTGTGTAGTTAGACTCCAGGAAATGTTCTCGTTTCTGACCTTGGATGTATTTACATTCATAATCAATTCAACATTCACTCCCATCCTCCAAGTCGGTCACATCCCTCAGCCCCAAATCACCCTACAGTGCAAAGTCTACATTCTTACAAGCTCCAAGGGCCCCTACAGCGTTCAACCACTACACTACAAGATGCCCCCACAGTACCAGCACCTTCCACCCCATATCAGGCAGAAAGTCAACAACACTGGTGAACTTAGTGCCTTCTCCAGCGAAGCTGTGGAGACTCTCGGTTGTGCATCTTCAACAAGCTCATAAGTTGGTTCATACCAGTCCATTCACTCAAATAATGTAATTTCTTTACAGATCGTACACCCCCAACACATGGACATTGGACTCGTTTGAAATTGGCCATCACCTTGGGAGGGGTGGGTTTGGACATGTCTACATGGCTCGAACCAAAGAGGCTCCCAAGTTTATTCTTGCCCTGAAATGCCTGTACAAGGCTGAACTGAAAGAGGAACATGCCAAGGAGAAATTGTGTCGTGAGATGGAAATTCAGAAGGAACTGTGACATCTGAACGTCTTATGCCTCTATGGATTTTTCCATGACAAAAACCGGGTTTTTTTCATGTTGGAACTCGCATTGAAGGGAGATATTTTCAAGCGCCTTACAACACTTGGACATTTCTCAGAAGAGCAGGGAAGTCAAGTACGTCTGTTCAACTGCCACTGATATTCTCCAACTGATTGGCTATTTTAAGTACATTTCTCAGGTGGTGGCTGCATTGCAATATCTACATAGCAAGCATGTCATCCACCATGATATCAAGCCTGAAAATCTTCTCCTTGGTCTTGATGGAGAGGTGAAGATAGCCGATTTTGGATGTAATGTCCAAGTAAACAGTAATCGGTGTGTGTTCCATCAATGCATGACTGCTTTGATTAGTATTGACACGACCCACCAGCCGGATGACATTCTGCAGCACTCTCGATTACATGGCCCCTGAAATGGTTGCAGGGGAACCCTGCACGGAGAAAGTGGATCACTGGGCACTGGGTGTCCTTGCTTATGAGTTTCTTGTTGGCAATGTACCCTTCGAAGCGAATAGTTTATAGGTTAGTGTTCCCCATGCGATGAGTTATCCTGTCTTTGACTGATGCTATGTGACAGCAACATGCCAACGAATTGTGTCGGTGGACTTGGAACTTCCCAGTCACATTTCCCCAGAAGCTTGTGACTTCATCGAACTTGTGCATCCGACCCACTGTTGCTTGGCACTCATACTGATTTGTTACTAGCTGCTGCACAGAGAGCCTGAGAGGAGGCCTCTTCTTAGCGATGCAGCGAGTCACCCTTGGATAACAGGTGATCGTTTTTCACCAGAACTTTAAATGTGATCTCCTTCACCTTGGACCCCTGTAATGCCTTCACTTGCTTTAATTTTTGTAAATAAGACCATAAATTTATATCTCATTTTGGAACGTAGATAAATCTACATGATAGGTTGGCATGATCAAACTGATTGGGGCGCAGGGAGGGGATCCCAGGGATTTGATCAAATCAGCTCAATCGACCTCAGAGGTGTCCTGATGCCAATCCCACAGATCATGTCAAAAAACACCCTCTTGAACAAGAGAGAAGCTATAATATTTGACCCCCCAAGACCCAAGGATGTGTCACGGCCATGCATTCCGGCCCGTTCCCCGCCCGTCCCGATGCCACCCGAGCCCATTCCCGCTATGCAAGCATGAGCGCGAGCCCCGACCTCAGCCCTATCCTCCCTGAGGACTCCCTGCTCACTTCCCCGCTTGCCCCTAGGCTCCCCTACACTTGGCTGACTCCCCTGCTGCTGCACCAACCTTCCCGCCCTGAGTCCGCCTCTGGCACCATGCCCAGCGTGACTCCCCTACCCTGCCCACTTGGCCCCTACAGGGCCGCTATCATCCCCACGCCCAACTCCGGCCCAACTCCGAGTCCAGCACCACTACGATACCATCGCTGCTATCGCGGCCCTACGCTCTTTCCTTTATTTATCTGTTATTGTTTGTTTTGACCCTCGGTCATTGCCGGCCGCTATGCGGCCAACCCCACTCCTTCTTCTTGTTTGCTTCCGGACCCTTCGGCCTCCGGCCCGGGTCCGCTCCCATTCATTTCTTCCTCCTATATATATCCTGTATGATACTTTATTGTACCTTAGCTCTAATATCGATGTGACCATGACCCCTAAGTCCTGACCCCAACAAGGCAACCCCAGTGAGTCCGAAATGAGGGCCAAGAGACAGCTAGGGGGCACAGCACTCCCTTTAGAGTTGCTGAGGCCAAATGCCCTACCCTCGGGCCTTGTCTAAGGCATCACGGCCATCGCGGCCAATAGCGGCCTGCATCGGCGACCTTCGGTGCCGACCCTGGACCAGTGTCTAACAGGATGCCCACATAATAGAAAACTACAGAATCATTTTCCCACTGAGTCTCCCACTGAACAATGCAGTATTGGTGAAGATGTAAAGCGTTCAACAGCATGTCAAATGGCACATGCCCTTGATGGCACTTAGAGCTCCTCGCTCAACCAGCAAGGCCCTTAGGGTACCCATTATGCACTGCTAGGCCTACCCAATAGGGCATTTTCAATGGGGGCCCCCATCATATGCACCATGACACAAGCCATCCATTGGGGCCCCTACAAACCCCGGTGAGCTTGACCCTTGGGGGCAGCCTGTATCATGGTACGTAATGGCAGGGGCCCCTACTGGAAATGCCCTGTTAGGTGGGCTTAGCAGCACAGAATGGGTACCCAACGTAATTATATTAAAAGTGAATGTAAAGTTGAAAAAAAGAACGAAAAATAGGAATTTTTCCTTCAGGTGACTGTCTTTATCAATTAATGATTCTCCTGACTGCTTCGTCTTGTAATTCTTAAGCACCATATATTCTTGTTGACTTTATATATTTGGGTGCCCCACAACATTGCGGTTGTGCTGTGACACATTGTGTGACAGAAATTACATCACAGTCACTTGAACATGCCATTGCTTCTCTATTTCACATTCAGAATGGAAGGCTTGCATCACCATCACTCTGAATGTAAAGGTGATTGTGGTCAATAGCCCAGCATGTATTGATGCTGCAAGGGCCATGTTTAGTGAAAGATGATTCCACCAACATAATCATCTGGATAACCTATCAAACCAACCATGCATCATTCACAGCGACTTCTATGGGTTCAAACCAGTCATCCAGAAACATAGAGCCTCGTCATACTGGCCTGTCAATGTTTCAAAAGACATGGAAGAGGAAGTGATGAGGAAGTGGACCTTCAATATACGGAAATGCAATGACAGACACTTGACGATGCTACAGAAACTATTGCTATCATTGCCCCAAAATGGCCCACCTTGGAGTGGTGCTCATAATGCCTCACCATGCAGTTCAAATGCAATGGAATGATCAATCACTACGATGACATTGCCCAATATTTGTATCGTTTCCCCCTGCTTGTGTATTAGTCAGACTGGATTCTGAGCGTTTTGTCTTAATGACTTACACACTTTCATGTACCCAAGCATAACATGCTAGGTAACTAGTTTCAAGGTGTTGAAGATCCTGCAGAGGTGCAGGATTATATGGCCGATGATGAAGTGTTTGACGATAAACTTGTGGACAACCCATACGACCCCAACCTCCTCGCTGAGGTGGAGGTGGAGTACATGGAGGTGGACGCCGACATGTTCATCGGTGCTATGACATTTGTGGACCCCATGGACGAAAATTTCTCCATTAAATTAGCATCTGCTCGGCAAGTGGACAAACTGCTGTCTGATGAGCAGATAGCAGCTGAGCTTGTTGATGATGCAGTAAAATCTTACAAAAGGGACGGTGTAATTGTTAGAATGCGGGGATTCGGACGACTCCGGAATGGAATCGGAGACTTAGCATGGAAGGACCTCAGCCTCAGCGACTCAGGCGGAGCGCTGTGCCATTGCTGGTTGTCCTGGGGGTCCCTAATTTCGGATCTAGCAGAGGGAAAGTCTCTTGGGGGGGAATTCCAGTCGATTTCGGACTGAGGTTACAAGTTACTAGGTACATTGTATATAAGGAGGGGTCCGGAATCAAAAGGAACAAGGGTAGGACAAAAGGAGACAAAGGGAGATGGAAAGGGGAACAACACCGAGGGTCAAGTGTTTGACTCAATGGTGTTTCCCAAAGGAGGAATGAAGGGCCAAGGCCCAAGAAGGAAGGAAGGAGGATGGGAGTCGGGAATGGCTAGCTGACTGAATAGAAAGGAAGCAGCAGCCCAAATAGGAATGAGGGAGAATAGCGGAATTGAAATGGACAATGCAATAGTTGCAAGGTCCGGAGTAAGTCCGGAAAGTCCGAACTCGGAGGTTAAACTCCGGAATATTGGCAAACATAATTAAATGGAATGAGCTAACCAATACAATGGGTATAAGCGGAGGTGGGGTCAAAGTCCGAGGTCGGAGCTAAGACCGGAGGTTCTGGAGACGAGACGTGAACGGGATACCGGAGCGGAGGTCCGGAGTTGGGAGCATAGGTTTTGCATACTCGTCTGGAAGGTGTCGAGGTTGGGGTCGGACCCGGAATGTTCCGGAGTCGGACCGAAGGTGGTGTCCGAGCCGGAGGTGGGATAACCTCTTGGGAGTCGGCAAGGAGAAAGTGATGGAAGGGAAGTAGGGCTCCGGAAGTCGGAGTTCGGAGTTCCAGGAGCCCGGAGTGGAGGTCGGGATTGTATGGATATGACAGTAATACCGGTCCCTAAATCTTCATCCACCAAACCATCAACACAAAGTGTGATGAGTTCTTCAGTGCCTAACAAGCTTCTGAAGAAAATCCTGCCAATATTCGACGCAAAGTTTAGAATCTTGCGAGAGGCAGGTAAATACCCTGAAAACTGCAGCACTGACTTAAGGTGGACGCTCACTGGCGAGGTTAACATCACGGGGGTAAAGGCTTTTGTCCTATTTGATAGTGGCACTGAAACAGACACCCTATCTCCGGATTTTGTCCAAGCAGTGCACATTCCACTGCTCAAGTTGCCAAACCCCTTGGTTTTCCATATGGGGACCAAAAACAGTCATTTGTGCATAATGTATGGCACGAATACACCCGTAACTGTCAGAGACCAGATTTAAGACGAAGGAATGTCTCCGTAATGGAGGGCTTTGGCCTCAGCGACTTCTGCCAGGAGCGCTGTGCCTAGTGACACGTCCGTGCCCTAACTTACTGACTGGCACTTAGAACCTAGTGGGGGTAACTCTAGTTGATTTATCTGCTGGGGCGTAACCTATGTACAAGTAGTGTATATATATGGTTACAGCGGAGCCGGACGGAGCGGAGCTAACGGGGTTAAGACATTAGCCGACTGAATATTACCGACGAGTCGGTTCGCGGGGTTAGCGGAAAGGCAGGCGTTAACCCAGAAACGGAAAGGAGGGATAGGCCCGAAGGTGGACTCTGCAGGGCAGGCGAGTGTATTGCCCAGCGGAGGCGGGAGTGCGCTAGCGGACGTCGGAGCTGTCCGGAAGTCTTCGGGGCTCCGTACTTAGGGAGGCGTAGGTAATAAATTGAAATGAGGGGGTGGTGACCATCGAGGGGTACCGAGAGGTTTGCGGAATACGGGGGCTCCGAGGTTGGTGAGGGGGAGCGGAGTTAGAACGGAGGGGTCGGAGAGCCCGGAAGTCGATGGCCGAATGGATATGACAGTAACCATTCATGGGGTTACGACTACTCACTACTTTGACGTCATTAACATTGACCACTATGATGCCATTCTCGGAGCTCCTTGGCTGAATGCCAATGGAGTGTCCCTCAATTTCGAAACCCACACCGTCCACATAAAGACAGGCGACCAAAAATGTTTGATGTCCTAACGGAATGGGGTAAAACTTCCATGGGGGCTGCTGCATGCAGTTTCCCCAAACTTCCCCATGCACCGAGATCCGAACTGCCATCAAAACAGATGGCATGATGCACTACAGCGAAGGCTGTAACCCTTCGCCACGCATCCTTGCCATGTCTGCTCAAAAAGATGCAGACACCCCCCAGTGGCCCAATCACTGGCCAAACCTGAGGTCGAGAGACCTCAGGCTTCCTGACTGTTCCCGTTTAGAAGGGCTGCCAATGACAGACCCTGAATTCGTGCCACTCAGGAATTGGTGGCGTGAACGTTTCAAGGATGTGATGGCACCAGCTCCTGAGGTCCTACCTCAATTCAGGGAGGTTAACCACTAGATCAACTTGATTGATCTGAATAAAAAATATATAGAAAGGAGGGCTACATGCCCTCAAGCTCTCGAACCACAGCTTCGAGGGAAAATCACTCGTTATGAGCGAGCCAAGTGGTGGGAACACAAGGCAGTCATGACAGTTGCTCCAC